TCCAGTACCGTCGGCCGCTAGCCTTCCTTTCGGCTTTGAGCTAGCTGCGTCATCACATCTGGGGCTAGTTGAACTTATCCTCTGCTCCTCCCCAGTAGCATTTTGGCCATCTTCCGACCTGGGAGTCCCATCTTCCAATGGCATACCGACATATCTCTGGTTGTACTGATCCATTTAGTTTTCTTGGCAAGGATACTGGGGTGGTTTGCCATTGCCTTCCCCAGGGATCACGCTTGGTCTGACCTCTCTGCCACACCGTCCCGTCTTGGGTGGCCCTTCACGGTTTCGCTCATGACATCATTGAGGTGCTCAAGCTCCAGCGCCCCGACAAGGCGGTGATCCTTTGCTGGAGAGAATTATCTTACAACATTCAAATATTATGGATGATATTTTCATCATTAGCAAGGTAATTTTTAATGTTTACAGCACAAAATAAAGCTTAACTAGAGACTATTTCATGAAAACAGGGAATCTGGGGGACAAGGTTAATTGAAAGCAACTACCTTAATACCCTTTCTCAGGGCACCTGAGAAAAGCAAGATTCTAACATGTCATCAAATCTCATGGGCGGGGCATCTCAATGTTGGCAATGTAATTTAGCCAAAAAAAGGTGAGAATTAGTCTTGAGTAGATAAGGTAATTTGTCAGTGACTGAAAATGGTAATGTGCAAATATGCTTCAAATACGTACAGACAAATTACTGCATTTTAAAAACCAGGTAACTACTACCAAGTATACGTTTACTGGTATGAATGCCACTTTTTACACATCTGTGTTTCATGATCTTGGGACTATGGATCTGAAAACCAGATAAACATTTTCTAATATACATGTGTTTTGATACCAGATTTGATTCTGATATTAGATCAAAGAGCTCATAACTGATAAATTGACATAACAGTCATATTGATAAGTAATTCACACTGGCTGAATATAGCATTCCAAACTTTTCATCTTATTTATTTACAACAGTTATATATTCCCCATTATAGAAGGCTTAATTGCTTCAATGAATACTTGAATTGGTTATCAGAGGATCCCTTTGCACCTGCTGAAAACACAAAAGCACTACATGTGAGAGTATTATGGAATATGATTAAGGCAGGTATGGAGAAACACAGGCTTGGGGGCAGATGAGGCCTCTTTGGTTTTGTTCTCAGACCCTCTTCTCTCTCACCATCCTGTTCTTCCTTCCTTTTCTCTTTCCTTCCTCCTTCCCTTGCTCCCTCCCTCCCTTACCTCCCACTTTTATTCCTTCCTTCTCTTTTTCCTCCCTCCCTCTCTCCCTCCCTTCTCTTTTTCCTCCCTCTTTCCTCCTGGGGGATGTTTAGCTGAGAGAAGAGAAGGTAGAAGGAACATGAGAACCATGTTTCAAGATTTAAAAGGGTGTCCCATTGAGGATGAGGAGGGGGAAATCTGACTTTCTGCTGCTCTAGAGACCAGGGCACAAGGGAGCAATGTGTTCAAATGGCAGAGAAAGAGATTCAACTGAAAAGATTAGGAAAAATTCCTGGAGAGTGGCATAGAAGGCTTGAAGTGTGGTGGAGTCTCCTTTTCTCGAGGCTTTTTCACAGAGGCTGTCTATTGGGAGTGCTTTGATTTTGCCTTCTTACATGGCAGGGGGTCGAACTGGATGGCCCTTGAGGGGTCTCTTCCAGTTCTAGGATTCTAGGATTATATATCAGGAATAGGCAATACGGGGGTCTAATGGATACGCTTTTTCTCTCCTGTCCAACATCTTATCCTGACCAAGGCCAACCTTTTTGGGATCCAGACATTTCCAATCTTTCGTTCACTTCCTATCTCCGAAAGAGAAGAGGAAGGAGAGGAAAGGGCAGGGAGGGGGCTTGGGGAGAACCCCCTTCTTCCTGGCCCACCCACCCAACTCTCGCCCATCATGTGACTCCCAAGTTAGAAAGTTTGCCCATGCCTGGATTAGGGTGTCTGCCTAGTTCAGACGGTGAGCTTTTGCTCATTATAAAACATAAGTGCTTCTAAACACCACAGGTTCCCTGAGGCAATTTGCAAACCTCAGGAATTATGTACTTAATAGTTGGCATGTAGATGGACAATTTGTGTTGTACTCAAAGTGCCGGTTTGAGCCCCTTTCGGAGGAGATAAATATGGGGCATATATAAATAAATAAATGAGTGTTTCAATCAAAAATTAGGTATCTGATCCTAATTACGATCCTAATTACGATGATTGGGAAGAAAAGTTAACCCACAGCAGCAACCCCTATTTAAACATGAACAGTTTTTCACATTATACCCCAGCCACTGTGATAATGAATTATTGTTGTTATTGTTATTATCATTATTGTTATTATCATTATTATTATTCTAATTACATTAAAGCAAGTATGTTTTCATATCCTAACCATTCACTTCTGCAAGATAGGGAGCCACGGTGGCACAATGGGTTAAACCCTTGTGCTGGCTGAACAGCTGACCTGAAGGTCGGTGGTTTGAATCTACAAGATGGGCTGAGCTCCCATCTGTCAGCTCCAGCTTCCCATGTGGGGCATGAGAGAAGCCTCCCACAGGGTGGTAACACATTCCAACATATTAATAATTGAATGGGTGTGACCATGTCCCCTGGTCAACTTCCCTGCAGACAGCCAATCCTCCCACACCAGAAGCGACTTGCAGTTTTTCAAGTTGCTTCTGACACAGAAAAAAACTCCCACAAGATTCTTTTCTAGATGATCGGTATATTTTCTTGAAGACAATTTATGTCTAACCAATCCAGCATATTAATCTTTGATTGATTGCAGAGTTGCAAATTAAAATACAAAACTTTGATGTTAAACTTTTTTTTAATGAATCATCTTTATTATGCAGATTTTCAGTAATTATGACATACAGTACGAAGGGAGGGATAAAGGGAAGTACAATTGGGGGGATAGGGGGTAGGGATGGGGGGATGGAAGGTAAGGGAGGTAAGGGGGGGAATAAGGGAGGGGAGTGAGGTGGGATGACATGTTAAACATATGGTTGGCTTCCAGTAGAGTCTGCAGGGTAAAAAAAACAAACAAAAGACTTGCTTTCTAGTTTCTTTGTAACAATTTTATATGTATATAAAACACCTTCACTGTTGTTATATCTGAATGTTTTTCCTTTCCTCTAAATATTTCTTCAGTGGTTGCCAGTCAATGTTACTTTTTTCATAAACCATATTCGCCAAGTCGTCCATTTCCATATATTCCCTAATTTTCAGAATCCAAGATTCGAATGTAGGGAGTTCTTTAGATTTCCATTTTCTAGGTGGAACATTCCTTGCTGCGGCTGACAAGTAATACAGTAACTTATCATTATTTAGCCCTGGATCAAAATCTAATAGATGTAGTAAGTAATACTACTAGTAAGTTCAACTCGAATTTAGTCTGCAAAATTCTTTGTGTATGTGAATGTATCTCTTTCCAAAAGCTTTTTACTTTTTTGCATTGCCATCATATGTAGTAATAGGTGCCTAATTGGTCTCCGCATCTCCAGCAGCTGCTACTTGTGCCTTTATAAAATTTTGCCAATTTTGGGGGGGTAAGATACCAACGATAGAACATTTTTTGCCAATTTTCAGTTACATTAGTCAATTTGGAATATTTTGTTTTTTTCCTCCATACTTTTTCCCATTCCTTAAACAATATATTGTGACCACTGCGCATTTCATCATATTATCTTTTTTTAATTCGGTCTCTGTGTCTCTTTCCAGTAGTTTTCGGTATAATATCTTTATTAATTTCTTTTCTTTTTTCATTACTATGTCCCAGATCGAATCTTGTGAAGAAAACTTTGATGTTAAACTTTAACAGCATTACTCATCTGGCAAACCACCAATGTCTATCCAAAATGATAAAAGATCATATTCTCATAATCTTTGTGTTATGATTTTGCCATCAGAAGATTTGTACTCAACCACCTTTATTTTGCAAATCCGAATTCAACATATAGTAGTGTTTTAAATAGCACTTTTATTTTATCTTTATGCTTTATTAATGACAAATAATGTACACAAACTTTGTTTTAGTGCTAAAAATAAACACCCTAAAATCAAAAATAAACACCCTAAATCAAAAATAAAGAAAAAAAAAATCTAAAATCCTAAACACTTCTGTTACCAAGCATTTCGGATAAGGGATACGCAAACTGTACTAGCTATTCAAAAACAAATAGGTCAGCCATGTTGGGCTCAGTTAAGACTTCTCTTTGCGTGTGTAGTTTTGTAGATCTTTTCTGATTCAAAGCAGTTTATTTAATGACTGCATATATAAAAGGAACTAAATAAAATATAGTGATGTTATAAGATGTCAAATAGATATCCAAAACCTATTACACAGAGACATAGAGTTCTGCAACAATATATTGTAGAGAAATATAACTCAGTAAAGAAACATTGCTGTTTCCTGTCGATTTTTTTTAAAATATAGTTACATGTAAGTTAGTGAGAAATTATAAGGCTATGAATAGCAGTTGTAGAAATAGTAGCTTTTTGTTTTTGGAAAAATTGGGAATAATATAGTTCCTGCTGCTTGCAGCATTCACCTATCCCTTTCAGGAGATTTTGTGTTCCTTGCACAACAGTCTTTGGTGAAACTTTTTGAAAGGGAACAGCATTTGCCCAGTGCATGGTGTTCCTCATGCATATATAATCAGGGATTACAACTGCTTGGTTTCATGCTGGTTTCTTATGATTACATATCAGAACTTAGACTTCAGTTCATAGCTGTTTCTGTCTCGTTCTTGCAACATTAGATTTCATTCTTAAATCTTTATTTATGCTTTCAGAGGAAATTCGGCATAAAATACTATACAGCTTTCAGTGACAAAGTTCTTGTGTCTATGATGGTATTTTATTGTATTGTAATGTATTGCTATAGTATTTATTATTATTTTATTGATCTTGACACAGTCTGGATATTGGCTTTTCCAACTCTTAGAAATCAGAACTACCAGTACTGTATATGCAAACTTACTTGTTGCACTCTTTTGGTTTTGTAATAGGATACCAGAAGGTCCTGTTGATCAGGGTCCTGCTGCAGGAAGAGTACATGCTTTAGAAGAACAGCTAATAAAGGCCAAAGAACAGATGGAAAATTATAAGCAACAAACAGGAGATGGTTTGTATATGCTTTTTCTTTCTGTATCTTAGAATGGAACACAAATGTGTGTCTTTTGTAATGAGACAAATGTCAACAGTCCTTTACTGTCCTTTCCCCTCCATTTTGTTAGTGGGCTTAGGAAAAGACCATGAAATATTGAGAAGGAGGATTGAAAATGGAGCCAAGGAACTTTGGTTTTTTCTCCAGAGTGAACTGAAGAAACTAAAAAGTATGGAAAGAAGTGAACTCCAAAGGCACACTGATGAACTTCTATCTGACTTGGGTGATCATGAAAGGTACTAACCATTGTTATTGCTGAATGTTTGGAGTACTAAAGCTTGTAAACTATATTAAAGAGATGATAACAATATGCTTCATTTTGATTTTGAGATAGTCTTTGGATAATAAATGAAATATTGAATTAGCTTATTTTACAATCAAAATATAAATGCATAGTTTTGAGATATGCCTTCCTCTGTTCTGCTGTACAATGTATGGCACTTTTGCTTGTATATATTTTCTTATAAATGCTTGCATGAAAGAATTAGTTTTCTTCTGTAAATCTCATTCAGTGTGTTCAGTGGTTAAATCACACCAAGGGTCTCATAGCTCACATGTGTACAGTACGGTAACACTGTCTCTTATTTTGCTCATATTCAAAAAAGTTTGGTCACTGAAGTGCTGCATGTAAGAGACATAATGGCTTCATACAGACAAAAGTTTATCTTTGTTTCATGATAGTGTTCCCCACTGAATATGAGTAAGTGAACCAAAATAATTTAAGATGCTGTATCTTCCTTTCAGCAGTCTCTTCATTTCCTGAATTCTATTGTGCAAATGGCTTTTTAGAGACATATTCATAAGAGCACAGCAGATAACAATTGACCTTAATGCGACATTTCATAACTTTCAACCACCTTTAAAATGAAACAAAATGCCATTTTTTGAGGGGAAGTGCTTCTGAAACTGCTTGAAAGCACCTAATTTGGCATTATTGAGTGTTTTTTTTTTTTGGCAATTTATTTTCTGTGCAAATGCTTGGTAAGTACCACTGGGGAAGCAAGGGTCACACCTTTTCTACTCCAGCTTCGGCACTGCTGAGGAGGTCTGTGTTACACTCAAAGATTTACCAAGCAATTGCAAGCTATTATTATTGTCTGTTTCTTAATTTTACAAGGTATGATGTGCTCCAATAAGATCATTCACCCTGAGGGAGGTGAATGTTCTTATTATTCAGATGGTTATTGTTGCTATTTTTTGGAGTTAAAGCCAAAATGCTAGGGTTGAATATTTCTCCCAGATTCAAATTTTCACTAGATCCATCATTTTTTAAAAGTTGTTTTTCAAATTAATTTTACAGCTTTCTCTAAGACAATAAAACTGAGTTGCTGTAAGTTTTTGGGCTGCATGGCCATGTTCCAGAAGCATTCTTTCCTGATGTTTCGCCTGCATCTATGGCAGGCATCTTCAGAGGTGGTGAGGTCTGTTGGAAAACTAGGAAAATGGGGATTATATATGTGGAATGTCTAGGGTGGGAGAAATAGCTCTTGTCTGTTGGAGGTAGGTGTTAATGTTTCAATTGGCAATCTTGATTAGCACTTAATGGCCTAGTAGTTTTCATGGTGTGGCCTCTTATTGCCTGGGGGCATCCTTTGTTGTGAGGTGATTAGCTGTTCCTGATTATTTCTTGTCCTGAGCTCCCCTGTCTTTATTTCTGTAATGATTTCAGAGTTTTTTTTTAATACTGGTAGTCAGATTTTGTTCATTTTCATGGTGTCTTCCTTTCTGTTGAAATTGTCCACATGCTTTTGGATTTCAATGGCTTCTCTGTGTAGTTTGACATGGTTGTTGTTAGAGTGGTCCAGCATTTCTATGTTCTCAAATAATATGCTGTGTCCAGGTTGGTTCATCAGGTACTCTGCTATGGCTGACTTATCTGGTTGAAGTAGTCTACAGTGGCTTTCATGTTCCTTGATTCTTGTTTGGGTGATGCATTTCGTGGTCCCTATGTAGACTTGTCCACAGCTACATGGTATACGGTAGAGTCCTGTAGAGGTGAGGGGATCCCTCTTAACCTTTGCTGAATGTAGTATTTGTTGGATTTTCTTAGTGGGTCTGTAGATTGTTTGTATGTTGTGTTTCCTCATCAGTTTCCCTATGTGGTCAGTGGTTCCCTTGATGTATGGCAAGAACACTTTTCCTCTGGGTGGATCTTTGTCTTTACTCTTGTGGCTTCTTCTTGGTCTTGAAGCTCTTCTGATGTCTGTGGTGGAGCATCCATAGGCCTATAAAGCCTAGTTTAGGTGGTTCAGTTCATCTTGGGGGAGGTGAGGTTTGCAGATTCTTTTTGCACGGTCTGTCAGGGCTTTAATTGTACTTCTTTTTTTATTTGGGTGATGGTTCAAGTTTTTATATAGGTATCTATCCGTGTGTAGATTTTTGGTAAACTTTCGGTAAACCCAATTGGGGAGCTCCAATCCAAACTTTCGGTAAACCCAATTGGGGAGCTCCAATCTGTGTGTAGGTTTTCGGTAAACTTTTGGTAAACCCAATTGTTTATCTGGTTTGTGGATGACTAGGTGTAACAGGATGAACGAGGAAATTACAGGTGATGAGAGAGAACGGTCTGTGTGTAATGGTAGGTTTGCTGCCACCACCCCAAATTACAGTTTGAGGAATTGTCTTGTTGTTGTACTTGAGGTAAAATGTCCCTATACACCGGTTCTTCCTTTTGGCTCCCTTTCTGGTGACTGAACTGTAGAGATGTGGGGGCTTACTGGATCTAACCTTCTATGATGAAACAAGGCTGAGGCAGATTAACAGTAAACTAGAGAACAGGTTTATTGAAGTATTTGAAGCAAACAACTGACTACTGAGAGGTACATATGCGTAATTTGTTTCTGAAGCACAGACTTATTAAGCAAATGGTTTCTTTAGAAGGAGTAACTTTTCCTTAACACGAGCTACTTTCCTCACACTATCCTGTAATATGTAACAGTGCGTTTCTTTGGCTAGCCGCCCCTGGCTGCCTTCCAGAGTATCTAGGTTTCCACTGGACTACTCTGACCCTTAGGGAAATAAACCCACTTGTATTCTGTCCTAATACAAGTAAACAAGCCTTCACTTTGACTGCCCTAGTCAAACTACACAGAAGCACTTGCTCTTAATTATTCCCTAACTGTCTAATTCCTAGCTCACTAAGAAACTCTCTTCTCCGTCTGAAATCCTAATCTTTTCTCTGCTAGATCAAATCCTTCTCTCCCCCTTCTGTCAGAAATGACAGCCTATTTACACTCTCCTTCAACTCCTCCTCTTGGGGTCTGAACCAATCAGGAGTTAGCTGACTCCTCCCCTTGCCTCTCTGCCTATACCATCATGTCTGCCATCCTGAGCTGCCTTCCCAACATGGAGGCCAGCTCACTGACTTCCAGGCTGCGGCCTATGAGGAAAAGGTATGAGTTCATTACACTAGGACATCTAGAAATTGCAGTTTTCCTTCGTTTTCTTTTTCCATGGTGAATTGACTGTTTGGGTGAATGCTGTTAAGGTGGTCCAGGAACTTGTTTAGTTCTTCATCTTCCTGGCTCCAAATAGTGAAGGTGTCATCCACATATCTGAACCATATAGTGGGCTTTTTTGTTGCTGTTTCCAGGGCTTGTTTTTCAGAGTGTTCCATGTAGAAATTTGCTATGACTGGGCTGACAGGGCTCCCCATAGCTACTCCATCTTTCTGTTCATAGAATTCATTGTCCCACTGGAAGTAGCTTGTGGTGAGGGGGGTGAGTTCTTGATGTAGTACATAGTGAGCCCAATATGGGTTTGTAACTGTGTGGCCAAACGTTTTGCCAAATCGTATGTGGGGAATCCGATGGCACTCATGATGGGTTTGAGAGAGGTGGAGTCCTTATGGATTTTTGGGAGTCCATAAAGCCTAGGTGGGAGGGCTTCTGATTTGCATAGTTGTTGGCGTATTTAAAGTTGATTAAGGAGTTCTTTATCAGAGTGTTAATTTTTCTGGTTATTTTGGTGGTTGGGTCTTGTTTTAGTTTTTTGTATATTGTGGGTTCCAGGAGTTGTCTGATCTTTGTATTGTTCTGTTTCCATTATTACTGTGGCATTCCCCTTGTCTGCTGGTTGAATGATAATATCGGAATCCGAGTTGAGGTCTTTTATGATTTGCCTTTCTTTCCTTGTTATGTTGCTGGGGGGAAGTTTTGCCTTTCACAGGATCCCTGCTGTTTACCCTCTTACTTCCGCTTCTTCCTTGGGGAGGCAGTAAATTACTGATTCGACATCGGCAATGATGTTTTCTACTGGAATCCTGGTGGTGGTAACAGCAAAAGTGTCTCCTTTGGCTAGTATGGATACTTGGTCTTTGGAGAGTTGTCTGTCTGTCAGGGAAGCTCTAGACAAGAAACTCAAGACAAGGGAGCTCCAGACAAGAAACAAATCAGGGACAGCTAATCACCTCTCAATAAAGGATGCTCCAGGCAGTAAGAAGCCTGGAGCATCCTTTGTTTTGTTTTTTTTTTTTTTTTCCAAGATGGCGACAAGGCAACAGCGACCCTGCTAACATCCGCGGGGCTAATTTCGAATCCGCTGGAATCTTGCCCTCCCAGCCCTCATCCTGCTGCAAATTGGGCCCCCTGATTTATCAGGGTGCTGAACAAACCGAAAGATATCATTAGCCGCGCTGAAACCTACCATCATTGTGGTGAAGGCGAGCCGATCGTTGGCGCCGGAATAGCGGGTAGGCCAGTGCATCAATTGGGACTTTCCATCGGGCCCTCACCTCTCTGAAAGAGAGTGCCAGGCCGCTCCAACACCTCCTTGCCATCCGGCCCCTCCATTTTTCGGGAAGGGGCCGAGGAGAGAGCGCCAGGCCGCGCCGCTATCCCCCCCCTCTTTTACCATCTGGGAGGGGGTGAAGAGGAGAGCCGGCAACCCGCAGTCCATCCGGCCCCTCCATCCATCGGGAAGGGGCCGAGGAGAGAGCGCCAGGCCGCGCCGCCGTCTCCCCCCCCCTTTTTTTGCCATCTGGGAGGGGGTGAAGAGGAGAGCCGGCAACCCGTAGTCCATCCGGCCTCCCCATCCATCGGGAAGGGGCCGAGGAGAGAGCGCCAGGCCGCGCCGCCATCCCCCCCCCTCTTTTACCATCTGAGAGGGGGCGAAGAAGAGAGCCGGCAACCCGCAGCCATCCGGCCCCTCCATCTATCGGGAAGGGGCCGAGGAGAGAGCGCCAGGCCACGCCGTCGTCCCCCCCCCCCCTCTTTTACCATCTGGGAGGGGAGAAGAG